CTGATCTAATGTCATACTCACATCCTGCCTATTTAGTCTGACACCTTAGAATTCATTCCCATATACCAGGTTTCTATTAATATAAATTAGCAAAATTCGTATCTTACTAACTTGATACTAATTTATTGCTAGCAAAGATTAACAGTAGTTTTAGTTTTTGCTGATTTCCTCCTAAGTCAGACTTTGTGCTTGCTCTCCCTAGGAATGCTGATACCTGATTCTAGTTATGGATATGGAGGCAAGGAGAAGTTGTTAGGGTAGGTCTTGACAACACCCTAAAATGGGGTTGTCCCTTGCAACAACCCTATTTTCTTGCAAGGGAACTTAACAGATTATTATTCAAACAACAAAAGGCTATTCAGACAGGGGAGAAGTGCCTGTTGCTTCTGCAAGGGAGGCCTGAAGATTTGTGGGTGGAAGATCCTCATATTTACATTGTAACTCTCAATATCGCACTCCTTTCCAATCAGTGCCTTAAGGGAACTTTGGGCAAGGCTATGAATTTGTCTTGACATTGTAGTTCTGCAACATGCATAATTAAATTTGGGGACTGATTTGCTGCCAATCACGCCATTTGCTACAAAAAAAAAAAAAGATCTTGGCTGGATGTGATGCCTCACACTTGTAATCCCAGCACTTTGGGAGGCCAAGTTGGGCAGATTGCTTGAGCCCAGGAGTTCGAGACCAGCCTGAGAAACAGTGAAACCCTGTCTCTACAAAAAATACAAAAATTATCCAGGCACGGTGGTGCGTGCCTGTAGTCTCAGCTACTTGGGAGGCTGAGGTGGGAGAATGACCTGAGCCCATGAGTTTGAGGCTGCAGTAAGCTGAGATCATGCCACTGCATTCCAGCCTGGGCAATGGCAGTGAGACCTTGTGTTAAAAAAAAGAAAAAAGGATATTTAAAAGACTACCATAGAAATGCTCTAGTTATCTGATCATGCCTTGACCTTAGAATTGAAAGCCTGAGCTTGTCATTTTCTTTCTGTGAACACGCAATGCTGTAAAAAGTAGCCAGTTTACTTCACTATCCTTTTGCTCATTATCACCACCATAAACGTCAAGTGCAGCATCCTTGGTTCTTTAAATCTTGTCTTCAGTGGATACTTCATGCTGAGCAGCCACAAATATTTACATATTGACATGCCATATATTGCCAGTATCTCATTTTTCACTGGCAATGAGTTCTTCACTGCATTCAACCTCAAGCCAGAAAGAGATCTTTGAGGGTCTCTCTTCTGGGGCCATTCCGGGTACCAAGTATAATACTGTACTAGTCAGAGTCTGACTAGGAAACAGAGACCACTTTAAGTATTTCAAACAAAAGAGATTTAACACAGGAATTTGTTACAACAATGTTTAAAGGACTGAAGGAACAAAAGAGGGAAGGTAAGGTTACTCAAAGTCACTTTAGGCCAGGCGTGGTGGCTCACACTTGTAATCCCAGTGCTTTGGGAGGGCAAGGCAAGGGGGTTGGCTTGAGCACAGGAATTCAAGACCAGCCTGGATCACAACAGAGTGAGACCCCATCTCTACAAAAAATAAATAATTATCCAGTCCCAGCTGAGGTGGGAGGATTGCTTGAGCCCAGGAGTTCAAGGTTGTAATGAACTATAATTGTGCCATTGCACGCCGGCCTGGGCAACAGAGAAAGACACTGTCTCCAAAAAAAAAAAAAAAGAAAAAAGAAAAAGACAACTGGCCGGGCAATCTGGCTCATGCCTGTAATCCCAGCACTTTGGGAGACCAAGGCCGGCAGATCATTTGAGGTTGGGAGTTCAAGACCAGCTGGCCAACATGCTGAAATGCTGTCTCTACTAAAAATACAAAAATTAGTTGGATGTGGTGATGGGCGCCGTGATCCCAGCTACTAGGGAGGCTGAGGCAGGAGAATCACTTGAACCTGGGAGGCAGAGGTTGCAGTGAGCTGAGATTGCGCCACTGTACTCCAGCCTGGACAACAGAGCAAAGTCTCAATTAAAAAAAAAAAAAAAAAGTCACAGTAACTAGGAAATCAATAACGCCCTGGACTGAGGAGCAGCAATTACTCAGAGGCCAGAACACTGTCCACTAAGGCTCCTGGTGTCACAGTCCAGCCGCTTTGAGGAGGATCCAGAAGCCTACACTTCTAGCTGTCTGTCGCTGTCCCTGCAGCCACCACCACCTGACTTTTTGTCATTGATGTTGCTCTAGCCAGTGGTGCTGCTGCCACCCAAGACGTCAGAAATCTGAAGCAGAGTCACGTCTCCCTTCCCACCTTCTGTCTCCTGCCACTGCCTTCCACCGGCAGACCCTAACAGGCAGGCAGCTGGCAAGAAAGTGTCAGGAGTGTGACTCCACGTGGCCTTGCTACAGTACATAGTAGAGCACGGAAAGAGGGGCAGGGGATGAGAGCAAACAAGCTAAGAAATGAGTAAACGACGGCCAGGCAAGGTGGCTCACGCCTCTAATCCCAGCACTTTGGGAGGCCAAGGCGGGTGGATCACCTGAGTTCAGGAGTTCGAGACCAGCCTGGCTAACATGGTGAAACCCTGTCTCTACTAAAAATACAAAAAGCAGCTGGGTGTGGTGGCGGGTGCCTGGAATCCTAGCTACTCGGGAGGCTGAGGCAGGAGAATCACTTGAACCCGGGAGGCAGACGTTGCAGTGAGCCGAGATTCCACCTCTGCACTCCATCTTGGGTGATAGAGTGAGACTTAAGTCTCAAAAAAAAAAAGTCCAGGCATGGTGGCTCATGCCTGTAATCCCAGCACTTTGGGAGGCCAAGGCATGTGGATCACGAGGTCAGGAGATCGAGACCATCCTGCCTAACATGGTGAAACCCCGTCTCTACTAAAAATACAAAAAAAAAAAAAAATTAGCCTGGTGTGGTGGTGGGTACCTGTAGTTCCAGCTACTCGGGAGGCTGAGGCAGGAGAATGGCGTGAACCCGGGAGGTGGAGCTTGCAGCGAGTGTAGATCGTGCCACTACACTCTAGCCTGGGCGACAGAGTGAGACTCCGTCTCAGAAAGAAAGAAAAAAGGAAAAGAAAAAGAAATGAGTGAATGAGTGAGAAAATATTTAATGTTAAATCTATCCCAGAAGTTCCTGCTGATGGGATTCACATATGAAGTTTCTGCTGTGAGGCTTGGCATGGTGCTAGATTCTGAGACTGCACTGGTAAACACAAAAAGCCCCCACTCTCCTTGAACAATCACAGGGTGAAGACAGACGAAAAAGCAACCCTTCATCTGGAGGCACCATTACATACACCTGACAAAGGATTTTTACCTGGAATATACCAAAAACTCTCAAACTAAATTTTAAGATGTAGACCACCCTAAGAAATACATAGGCAAAACAGTGGAGCAGCCCCTTCACAAAAGTGAATATTCCTGGGGCCAATAAACACAGAAAGGTGTTCAACTTTATTAGTCACGGAAGTGCAAATTAAAACCACGATAAGATACCACTACATACCTATCAGAATGACTATAGATAAAAAGACTGGCAATGCCTAGTAATGATGAGGATGTGGGGCAACTGGAACTCTCCTGCTGGTGAGAGCAGAGACTAGAGCACACACTTTGGAGAACTGCTTAGCAGTATCTAGAGCATCTAAGCATGTACTTACCCTTGACCTAGCTATTCCATCTTTAGTTATACAACTGAGGGAAATTAGCACCTCCATCAACAAAAAGACATGCACAAGAATATTCATTAGAGCTGCATTCATAAAAGCCCAGACCTAGAAATAACTCAGATGGAGATGGAGAAATAAATGCATGAAGTGGGTAAGAGAATGGGTAAACTGGCATATTCATATAGTTGAATACTATTCAGCAGGAAAGATGAATGGGCTACTGCTACACGCAACAACGTGGATGAAGCTCATAGACAATGTTGAATTAACATAGCCGGACACAAGAGTTCGTATGAGTCCATTTTTTGAAGTTCCAAGAGTAGACGAATGAAGCTGTGGAGGTAGAAGACAGAAGAGAACATTACGGGTATGACTGGGGTGGGCACAGGGAGCCCTGCTGCTGTGCTGGGAAGGGCCTCTATTGATTTGGGTGGTGCTAAACCTTATCAATCGGTAAACATAAGATTTGTTCGGGCCGGGCGCGGTGGCACATGCCTGTAATCCCAGCACTTTGGGAGGCTGAGGCGCGTGGGTCACCTGAGGATGGGAGTTTGAGACCAGCCTGACCAACATGGAGAAGCACCATCTCTACTAAAAATACAAAATTAGCTGGGCGTGGTGGTGGGC